GGTTCGAACAAAAGTTCTTGGAAAAGAAATGGAAATGGCGTAAAATCGAGCTGAAAAAAATTCATTCTTCAGGGAAAATATATTTTCTGGCACACACACAAAAAAGCATTGTTTGAAAAATTTGTTTGAATGGTTTGCAAAATTCACCCTGGCAGAGTTTTGCTCTCCACTCAAAAGATGAGGCGCCCTTCTTGTAGATTTTGTTTTTGTAGGCTAGCTTTCCCCTCAGAATTCTTGAAATAAAAGTGGCATTAATTCCAAGGGTTGCCTCCAGGTCTTCCAAGGTAATTCCGACATTTTCATCAATGATGAAGGGAAAGCTGGGCTACAACAAAAAAAAGTGCAGGAAGGGCGCCTCATATTTTGAGTGGAGGGCAAAACTCTGCCAGGGTGAATTTTGAAAAAAATTCAAAAAAAAGTTGTCAAAGAGGGCTGATTTTTGTTTGTGCCAAAGAATATATTTTCCCTAAAGAATATTTTTTCCAGCTCGATTACACGCCTCTTTCATTTCTATTCCAAGAACTTTTGTCAGAACCCTCGTGGTGGGAGAGTGAGAGAACCTTTTTCATTCCTTTGGTTGTACAGTACAGTATTTTTTTTAATTCTCTAGTGCAGGTGCACTCTCTTTACAACGATCTTATCTCTCTAACGGATTTATTTTATTTCATTGGTCCGCGAAATTCCGTTGGGTTCAATCGAAGCAGTTTTGAAAAATCTCTTGAATTTTACAATTGAATAAAGAAGGACTGGAAACAAAATCACAAAAATTAATTTATACACTCGTTATGGACCAAGTTATCCTTTTATACAGTTTTTCGTTGGCCACGATTAAGATTTTAAATCCCTCGCATATCCGATTTGAAATTGCTCCAGGTTTTGATAGCCATTTTTGAAAAAAAAAATGAGAATCCAGATGGATTCTTTCTACAATAATCTCGTCTAAACCGATTTTTCTGCATAACGAATATATATTTTTGGTCCTTGGTGTTCTTGCCCATGTTATAAGGGTTTATCTTCAACGAAGTTCGAGGGAAAAATCTACATTCAATGGGAAATCGTTGTAGAGAAATTCGATGGAAAATCGTTTTACGGAGAAATTCGAGAGGATAAAATCGTTTTAGAGAGAATTTCGTTTTGAATAATGGTTTAGAACCATATGGGATCAAAAAATTCGTTGTACAAATTAGAAATCACTGTTGGCAAGATAATGAATTCCTTGAATTTCGTTGTAGAGAAGTCATATAACATGAATTGGTTTTGAAAAGCTTTGAGCCTGATGAAATTTCAAATCAAAGATGCAACCCGTAGGATTTAAAAATGTTCATTGTGGTCAATCCAATCGTATTCATTGCGTAATTATAATGAAGAACAACTCAGTCCAGCATCAAGAGATGAAATACATTATTTCTTTTGTCATTTTTTCAATTCTTTGGTATTTTATGCAAGTACAATAATTCATTCAGAAAATTGTTTAAAGAAGCTACGATCGAGTGCGCTTGACGCAATTTTGCAAAAACTGTCGCAATTGATAATATTTACTGATGGTCTATTGATTTACCTGCATTCATTTGAGACAGTTGGGAAGAAGATAAGCACCTATAGTTCCTCAATTTCTTTAATTTGTCTCTTCAAAAATTGAATATCAAGATACCTGTTGAAGTCTGATGCAATTTTACGTCGAAGTCCCGAAAGATTTATTCCGCTTACTGTAATAATGTATAATCGCCACTGCGTTCGTCGGGAGTGTCATGAATATGCAAATCATTGGCTTATTTTATTTATACACAGTATACTGGCATGTTTAATTTATTTATTTTTCCAGTACTCACGAAAGGGTATTTAAAATGGCTATTTGAGTCTGACGCCATTTTATACTAGGGTGTGCGAAGATGAAGATCGGAATAAAAGCTCGCAACAATTTCTTCTTCGTGTCAGTGACAGGTTCACTTTCCGAGACGAAAAATTTCTTGGCTTTTGAATTTTATTTTATTTTATTTTTTCAAACAGTGATTTATTGTTTTGAGAGCATGATCATGAAATGCCTGAATTATTAGGAATAAATCGGGGCATGACATATTTCTTAATGCTTCAGGAAGTTCAGTGCTCGCGATCGTGTTCTTGAATAACTGAGTAGGAAGAAAACTTGAATATTCTAGAAAAATAGTGGAAAGCGGTAGAAAAGTTCACCTTGAGTTTGGTTTCAATTTTAGAAACATTTTGGGAAATAATCGCTAACCAACTTCTTGATTTCATCGAGTGACCTTGAGATGAATTAGGAAATGTTTTCCAGTTTATATACTAATGAAAGAATATTGCATGGTTGTGGTCGGAAAAATCAGTTTTAAATATTTTTCATCCAAATACGATTGATAACGATTATACTTGCAGTGAAATTTTTGAAATGTATGCCTGAAATCCGAGGAAAATGTTTAATCAATTGAAGGAAAATCAACGAAACGGTAGTCATCTTCGCGAAAGTAATGTTTTCATTTTTGTTTCTTCAGAAAGTGATGCTGATAACTGCTGATTTGTACCAGATTCAATCAGAAATACTATTCTTTGTTATTGTTAATCATTATCACAAGCTCCAATTAGTAAACGCCACACAAACTGATCAGATTTCATAAATTATTCTCGCCAAATGAAAGAAATTGAAGCAGTTTCCTTTGGAAGATTTTTATGGAATGACGCATTATTGCATTATTTTCGTGTTCAAGTCCGTCTTATTTTTTAACAGGCCCAAATTATCCAAGGCCATCGAAACATAATGCAATTATTTCATCATACGTGGAATTCGATTGAAATTCTTATCTGATGCAACGTATGAGGAATATATTTAATGAATGTGAACCACATGAGCCAAAAAAATAACCCGAATTTCATCATGAACTCAGCATACAGAAGAGCTGTCATGTTTTAAATATTGCAATAAGTTGCAAATAAATTCGCCAATAAAAAGTTCAGTTCTCAAATCTGTCAAATGGAAATATTCAAGGAACCACTTGACCGTGAATATCGAATTTTAATGTCGGGGAAAAACGGTTTTCATGCTTTCGAAGATGTTTCACTCTTGATGCTTCTCATCTTTGGTCTATGTAGACTCCATCAGCATAGTTAAAGATAAGATTTAAATTTTAGACAAACTTTGATGTTTACAACAACCCGAGAGGATCTGAATAAAATTCAGCATTGCAAAGGGGGATTTTAAATGGTTTCTCTTCATATTTTCGAAGTGATGAATCCCGTCAAATTATGTACATGAATTGTTAAACTTGAGACAATACGAATCATTTCTGCATTACTGTGGATTGCCCTTGAATTTTACAAAGTCTCTACAGAATACAAAAATAAAAATAAAATAAACTTTTCTTGAACAATTAAGAGGAATCCCATCAATTCAAAGGTAGTTTTTTTATGATTGTTTCGTAGAAGTCATCTTTTGAAAAAAAATTTGCTGAATCTACGAGGAAGTCAGGTTTGATTTTGTGAGATGTTTTGAATTCAAAAGCTCGTTATCCCATACCAACTGAATTCAATGCTTTATCTTGTCTATTCATCTCGAAAACAGTCAAGATGACGCAGTTGGGTCTTGGCGGGAAAGAGCAACAGAAATACCAGTAATAAGTGCGCAGAAGTTTCGAGTGGGGTCATATTTTCATTTTTACATTCCTGAAAATTTAATGAATGTTTTCAGATTGCGTTGATTAGCGAAGATTACCTTACGACAGTTGTTTCTACTCCAATCACATAAATTAAGCTGTTTTTTAATTATGAGTTTGAGTAATTTTATAATAACATTCATTTTTAACTTTTACATATATGAAGACTGCACTGTATTAACTCAAGTACTATGCACCATTGAGTATGACCTGCACCGCAGTTTTTTGGAATGAAATTTGCACAAAATGTCTCCTTTCATAACACACACACTTCAGTTGTGCATATGGTTGAAAAATGAATTTTTATTCAAAATTATAATGTTGAACAAAATAATCCCATAAATAAATATAAGAAGATGCATCATTTTAACTGGATTTGTGCCCCAAAAAATTCCCTGTTCATCATTTGCACCTGCAACGTAATCATTTATGGCTCCCACCCACTCATTTCCTATTTTTGTTTGTTCCAGAAAATAAATACCCACATACCACACACCCCAATTTTCTGCCTTGATTTTGCAGGAAAAAGTTGTGCATGGTACTCAAGTAAATACAAGGTGGCTCAATTTGTTCAAGGATAACTCCAAATTTAAAAAAATCAACTTTTTTAGAAATCTCAGAAAAGTGTTTATATGTTGAGATATTGTATAGGTATTATATTTATTTTTTTCAACTTGTAGGTGTCCCCCAGTCAAATCATCTGTTTATTGGGTTGTCTGTATTTTGGGGTCTTGCTGTACTCTGAATAAAGAAGCACAAACTTAACCTTTTTTGATTATAAATTTGAGTAAATTTAGAACAAATTCCTGTTTAATCTTTGTGAATATGAATATAGCTCAATTTTTTCACATAGAAATCCAAATAAAAAATGAATATATTATGTTTTCCAGCAATTTTGGAAAAGTGTCCATATGGTATTTTCTGGATGTTGGGTCAAATATTTTTTAAAGTTGAAAGTGTCCTCAAGTAGAATCATCCGTGTGTTGGTGTGTCCGTATTTCGGGGTCTTGCTGTAATCCCCAAAAAAAGAAGCACAAAATTAACCTATTTTTCATTATAAATGTGAGTAAATTTATTATAAATTCATTTTTAACCTCATTGAATATGAATAGCTCACTTTGTTCCAAGAGGTATTCGATTTTTTAAATAAAAGTTTTACATATTTCTAGAAATTTTGGAAAAGTGTACAAATGACGAGATATTGCCTGGATGTTGGGTCAAATTTTCTGCAGTTGCAAGTACTGTCCCCACAGCAAATCATCCGTATATGTCAGAATATCGATATTTTATCGGGGTCTAAGTTTAATTCAAATATTAATGATGTTATATTTTCAAGATATATTTTTTTTCCTCCTATTCAGGGCACTCTTTTTTTTCGGTGTAAAAGAGCAACAGCCGGTCGGTTGTGTTTTCCATTCGATCGCGACAGAAGAAGAAGAAAAATAAATGGCTTCCCGGTGGTCAGCGTCGTCGTCGCTGTCGAGCACTCTGCTCAACTACAGCCGCGAAGAAGTCGTGCCTTCGTACCGCGTCGTTTTCCCGTTCGAGGCGACGTTCGACCCGGCGCCGGCGCAGCAGTTCTTCCTCGGACACCGCATGACGACCGTGTGGCTGTCGGTGGCGTACGTGGCGGCCGTGTTCGGCGGCCAACGGCTCATGCGGTCCCAGAAGGAGTTCGGGCTCCGCGGCACCCTGGTGGCGTGGAACGCGGCGCTGGCGGCGTTCAGCATCCTGGGCACCATGCGGTCCCTGCCCGAGCTCGTGCACGTCGTCAGCAACAAGGGCTTCGGCTACTCAGTCTGCATTCCCAGGTGAGATTATCGTACAGATTACAGGACAGGACAGTACAGTACATTATCTTCTTGCATGAGTACCACGTGCCCCTTTTTTCCTCGGAAATTGAAAGGGGGAAATGGGGGGGGGGGGCGGTGGGCGTCATGGGCAGCAGGGTTTAAATTTGCAAAAACGAAATTTTAGAAGTTTAGGTATGAATCACACTTGAATGAACAGTAATGGGAAATGTTCCCTGGAACCTTTTTTTTTTAAATTGAAACGATTAAAAATTAATTGAATTCAGGTTGGATTTATGTGCATATAATATAAATTCCTGTGCCTCTTACTTTTGAAATATTGTAGTTCTGCAGATTGTTATCCCAAATTGGCGAAAGAATTGATTAAAGACACTTTTGCTCAGAAAGAAACGTCTTCCTTTACTAAACAATTAATCTCAAACCTCAACTTTCTAGGATAAGCTTTTTGTCAAAAAGAATTCTAGTCTTTACGGCCAGGGTAAAGTGAACTAGACTTCTTGGTTAAGTGAATATGTATATTTTGACAAGACTTCAGCAAACAAGAGTCAAACCAGCAATGAATGCTGACACATACATTTTGCGGTACTTTTATAGATTTGGAATAAACCAGACGCGCTTGTGCAACCAAAACATGGCAACAGAAAGGGGACGGGGCAAATGACTGGGATCCAGACAATGTATCTAGGATGCGTGATGCCCTTGTCTGCTTTGGGGCAGCAAGTTGCTAGGCAGAGATTGCAAATACAGAGAGCAATATTATATACCTGTTGTAGGACACATATCTTTTGGTGACAAGATGATAAAAAAATTGGGTGCACTTCAGAAGTTTATGTGCAAATTACACTTGAATGTACAGGGGTGGTACCTTGCAATTTGACATCCCGCAATTCAATGGTTGAATTTTCTGGGATGTTGACTTTCAATTTGACTAAAAAATTGGGTGCACTTCAGAAGTTTATGTGCAAATTACACTTGAATGTACAGGGGTGGTACCTTGCAATTTGACATCCCGCAATTCAATGGTTGAATTTTCTGGGACGTTGACTTTCAATTTGACCTCTTGACCTGCAATTCAAGCTGCAGAGAGACTCAAAATTTCAAATTTGATGTGTAAAAAATAGAATTTGACATTGTCTTGCAATTTGACCACTTTCAGCCCTTTGCAATTCAACCCTTACCCAGCTATGGATTAGGGTTGAATTGCAGGGCATCACCTGTAAAGGGGAATTTTCAAAGGAACCTTTTTCAAATGAAGTCAATTGAAACTTAATTGAATTCTGGTTGAATTTATGTTCAAATTTCTTACCCAGCTATGGATTAGAGTTGAATTGCGGGGCATCACCTGTAAAGGGGAATTTTCAAAGGAACCTTTTTCAAATGAAGTCAATTGAAACTTAATTGAATTCTGGTTGAATTTATGTTCAAATTGGAAGTCTTGTGCCTCTCACTTTTGAAATATTGTAGTTCAACAGTCAATAAAAATGAGGTGCACTTCAGAAGTTTAGGTAAAAGTCACACTTGAATGTAATGGAACATTTTCACAGAAATTTTAAAAAAAATCAAAACAATTGAAAATTGATCAATTTCATTGTGAATTAATGTTCAATTTTGGGTTTTGGTGCTGCTTATTTTTAAGCACAGCTGGACATTCTCTACTATGATCTTGTCTACAATGGTATTCTCTGTGCAATGAATTTTGTTTAGGTTCCTTGGCCGCCATAGCTTGCTCTTGCCATGTTCTATGTTTTCTCCAGAATAAACTTCTCTCAAGAACAATTTTTTCTTCTCTGAAATTGATTGTAAAGAGAGTCCCTCTGTATTGTAGCTTTTCAGTCACCAAAAAAGTGGTGCATTTCAGAAGTTTAGGTGTAAGTCACTCTAAAGTACAATTGCACATTTTTTGAGGATTTTTTTAAATCAAAACAATTGAAAATGATTGAACTCAGGTTGAATTTCTACTTATAAATGAATTCTGGTGTCTCTTTTTTTATAAATAGTTTAGCTCTCATTCACACAAAAATGGAGTGAACTTTAGAAGTTTAGTTGTGAGCCACAATTTCAATATAATGAGAACTTTCTTACAGGAACCTTTTAAAAGAGAAAACAATTTAAAATCAATCAAATTCAAATTGAATTCATGTTAAATTTTGGATTCTGGTGCCTTTTAATTGTTAGATGTTGTATTTTCCATTCATTAAAAATCGGGTGCACTTTAGAAGTTCAAGTGCAGGTCACACTCTAATATACCGGAGAATTTTAAACGGAACTTTTTTTAAATCGCAAAAATCGAAAATTGATTGAATTCAGGTTGAATTCCTGTTGAAATTTGAATGCTGAAGTCTTTCATTTTTAGAATAACATAGTACTAAAAAAAGAGATGCGCGCCTTACTTGGGTATACAATTTTATCAAAAATGTTTGATAAGAATACAAGTTTTTCTTCATGTGTGTGAGAACTCATTTTTTTTAGCAACTTTGGTCTACTTGAGACAAGTGTACAGTACAAGTATACTTTTCCGAGTTAGTGACTATCACTCAAATTAAACACAGTCAAATGACAAGTCATATTAAATGCATCACATTCATGCGTACAGTTGATCAATTTCGATCATTTTTAACGTAATAAACAGGGGTTATCCAACAATCTGTGATAATTCTGTTATGAATTAGACCTCAGGAAACATACAAACATTCAAGTTGCATTGTATATCCTGTATATTTGCACTTCAAATTGAATGATGAAAAATGTGACAAACTTAAGGGAAGGAAATTCCCGGACTTTTCAGGATAATTATTCAAACAATTCATGATATGCTGAAGCAATGACGTTAAAATGTGGGACTTTGCGGTCCCTTGAATTAATGTGTTCTTATACATTTCTCCAATAATCTACGTGATGCTCATTTACATTACTGTAGGTCTGCATTCGTTTATAAATGTTGCACCATGCTAGGATATGTACTTTACTTATAAATAAGGTATTTTTCATTTTTTGGGGTTGAATGCTTGCAAAAAAAAATTTCCTTTCAATGATTCACATTATTAGAGTAGAACATGTAGGAATGTTTCCTCTGATTGCTTTGTGTATGACAATTGTGTTGTATTTATTACTGTGCTACATTTATTTGAGAACTCTTTGATATTGAAGGAAAAATCTGCATATTTAATTTCCACTTTCTTTCAATAGATAGAGTGAATAGAGTGATAGAGTGCATTAATCACAATGCAGGTAGTACCTTTCAATTTGACCTCCCACAATTTGACTGTCCTCCAATTTGATGATCAAATTTGCAGGGATATCCTGCATATTTTCTAATCAATTCAGACGTGGACTTGAAAACTTGGGGAGGTTCCAGGGTTATCAAGGTTCAATTGTAGGTTGCAAAAGGTTTCACCAATGCTTGAACAGCATGCATAAGTGACATACAGTATATACAAAGTCATACATGATGATTGATTCCTGCTTTATTCATATAGGTTTTGCATTTGCATGATGTACAAGTGGGGTAGTTTCTATGCATTTTTTAGAATAGAGAGCAGCAAGCTGATTTGAATGGGAAGATCTGCAGAAGAAACTGTAGGTGTTTCAAAGAATTTTTCTCTGGGCTTTCTAGAAATTTGGGAAACTTTGATCATTTTTGCAGCAGATTTCATTTACAGGAATCAATTACTGGATGTTACATTGAATTGTACGGAAAAACATGACTTGCCTAACAAACGCTTTACATAACACACACACACTGCTGGAATGGATTCTGTTCACTAGGCAAGGCACCATTGTAGTAAGAAGATAATCATCAATTAGAGATAATCTAATTCTAAATCTTCTTATTGACTGAATTGAAACATGTGTCTTTTCAGAACCCATTTGTCTAGCAAAAGTTTTTCCCCCTGCAAAATCTGTGAAAAAATTGTGCTTTTTCTACTCTACACTATTTCAATGGCATAATGTGAGACTGACGTCAACGTCATTTTATAAAATTAAGATGTGTCTTGTGAATATCTATACAACAGGAAAAAATCTCAACCCCTTGAAATTTAAGACTTTTAAATTTTTTATGCTTAGTTTTCAACTTTGTTTAGTGTTGGCTGAGGATAGACTCCTTCATCATATATCAGTGTGATTAATGTATTAGATAATTTAACTTGAGGCTTACTGGAGTTTTGAAAAATAATATATGAAGCTATTTTGTTATAGACATACAGAAGCCTAAAACATACCTCTCCTCAAAATTCTACTAAACATTTGCAGTCAAATGCTGAAATTTTGGACTAAGTAAATTTTTTTTTCAAATTTCAAATCGACCTGAAACAAATTTAAAATGTAGTTGTGTAGAGAATTCTTCACAGTGCTGTAAGTGACCGATATCTATATTTATGAACTACAGTAATTCTTATTTTTACATGTTACATTTTCCCTTTCCAGTCAGGAAAAAATTATTTATCACATTAGTGGCTCAACGGCTATCCCAATTGTGATTTTGAACTAGTGGAAATATGGTGTGGGCTATATCCCGTGTTAAAAGACGGTATGAAAAGAATGGTGGAAAGTATAAGCAAATAAACCACTGGGGAACATGGCAGGGGATTTCTCCATCAGTAGAAGTCACAAAGGAGAAGTAAAGTTTATTTCGCAAATAAAGATCAACAATTTTAAATAACTGAACTTTTATACAGATTACACATTGAAATCAATTCAGAGCTTTAAAAAAAACTCAGAAAGTCAAGCACAGCTAAAATTCCCAATCAAAAAATCGCCAAACACTCACACATGCAGTGCAATCTTGAAGCAAAATGTGACTTGAAAAAATTAAACAAAAAAAAGGGACAGAAAAGACTGCATCCTTTATACATGAAAAGCAGGGTATGTGTGTTAATCACATGATGGGGAATTCCTGATGACTTGAATAAATTTGTTTTGAGTTTTCTTCGGTACTCTGCGTCTTTCAGGATGCAGAGAGTTTGTTTCTTACACGTACTGGATAATGTATAATTATAGTACTATATATTTCTTAGAGAAAATGCAGTATGCTTCAATTTTAAAAGAAGAACAGAAAGAATATATTGCATGCATCATATTGTGTTAATACAGTACTGTATAACCAATCCCATACGCAATTTGCTTATTGATGTAATCAACAGTGCATCAGAAAGAGAAAAGTGCTCTTCTTTTCTTTACAGCATGTGATATGAGAACTCAACTTCTTGAACTATTTGATTCGTATAAAGTTTCACTTTTTAGGAAGCACGGATCAGCTGTGCTTATACCGTGAAGAAAATCAAGAATGGGAAATCTATAAAAGCAAGAACAGTTACAAATCAAAAAGAGCAATAACAGCAAGAGGAAGGTGGAAATTGGGATGAAGTTGTTGTTTTTCATTTTTATTCCTGTTACTTCCAATCGTTGATGATCTTATCAAATTCTTCACATCGATGTGCTGCCTTATGCTTTCACACGAAATTTCAAGAAATACATTCCTCACTTCAGAAACATTCACAGCAAATTCGAATCTCATCCATAATTGCATATGCTTTTATCCGAATAATAACAACGCTTTGGGTTCTTGTTCTCAAAATGCGTTGATAAATTCACCAAGCCGAAGAAATCAGATCGAAACATTTGGGAGAAAGTTTCCCAGTATTTGATCGAATTTTGACGTTCCTATGCAACAAAATTCTATAGAAAGCTTTCAAAGATGCGAACACCGAAATTCTTTCAAAAATTGGATTTTTTATGATTTCGTGAATTTATTTTGCGAATTTCTTTGCGGTGAGTTTTCCGCTGCAGGATTTTCTGCTCTCCGGTGCAATTTATTTTTGGAGCTTTCCAAAAAAATAAGTTCCGACTTTTCTTTGGGTTCAAGAATAAGAAAAAGGTTTTTTTTTTGTAATTGTACGTCGATCTAAATAGGCTTGAGGAATCAGTGAACAATATACAGTATTACAACTTCTACGCGAATATTCACGAGGTTGTAAGGAGATCATGCCAAAAATGACACGTTTATATCGAATAAAAATCCTGCAAAATAATCATTACATTTCATGACATTGAATTAAATTTTGCCACCAAAAAGCTCATTTTCTCTGTCCTTTTTTACATTATTCCGGCATCTTTATTCTCTCATCGGCATTTTATCACGATGCCTGATATGTAAAATGTGTTCATAACATTTCCTGTCCAAAGTTAAATACTGTAATGCTAATTTCGGATCTTCCTTTTTTTGCAATTTTTTTTTTCCGCGCAGCTTCTTCGAAGAGGATTCAGTGTCCGGATTTTGGACGACCATGTTCGCCATTTCCAAGGTACCAGAGCTCCTGGACACAGCGTTCATCGTGCTGCGCAAGCGACCACTCATCTTCCTGCACTGGTACCACCACATTACCGTACTGATGTACACCTGGTACGCGGTGTCATGCGTCATAGGCCCCGGACGCTGGTTCGTCACCATGAACTTCATCGTCCACAGCGTCATGTATTCCTACTATGCTCTCCGTGCCCGAGGAATCCACACGCCCAAGGCCGTGTCCATGATCATCACGACCATGCAAATTTTGCAAATGGTACGTTATTTTTTTGGCTGTGCAGTAAAATCTTGTTACAACGAAGCCATTGCTGAGACCAGTGACATAGCTTCGTTGTGAAGAAAAATTCGTTAAAAAAATTAACTCAATTAACTTTGTATGTAGATTTTCGGTATAGGGACCTAAAAATGACTTCGTTGTAAGTGATTATTTGTATTAAAGAGATTCGTGGTAACAAAATTACAGTGCTTATATACTTCCAAACCTCTTTGAGTCAAACTTCAATGAACAGACCAGCAAAAGAAATCAAGTTATTTAGGGGAAAGAGCATTTTTGTTGGGGAAGGGGGGGGGGGGAGAGAAGAATTGCAGGAAATTGTGATTGGTGATTTTTCTAGACCTTAAATTGCTTTCTAAATAAGTTGACAGGATGTTGAACTTGGAGGCAAGAGTTCATTTGCCCCAACCTAGTTTTCTATTTTCTTTTAAAAACGCATAAAGTTACATTTCCATATTACTTTTCTCTTTCTTCTGTCAATAAAATAATAGCCAAAAGGCCTCCAGAAAATTTGACTTGCGGAGGTTTTAAGGGTGAGATGAAGAGATTTTTAATGGATTTTTTCAAGAGAATTCAGGCAGGGACTTTAAAAATCTACTTAGGGATGTATTCGATTCTGTGAGACTCGAGTTATTGAGGTTCAATTGTGCAAATGTTTTTGACTTTTTTCCCTTAAAAAAAATCGCTTGTGATAGGCTCCCTTTACGTGAGCCTCTGAAACATATACAGTAGTGTACTTGATTTCGCTGACAGATTCAACTAGTATACTTTACTGTGTATCACTCAAAAACAGCACGTGAGTTCAGAAAATAAATCCGAATCATGCACAGCCGTGTGATGCGGCAGAAAAATCCTTTTTTTCTGTTTTCCAATAACTGCACACGAGCAATCCGCAGTGGAATTGTCATGCTCATGACAGCACGAATTTAAAAACATATGCACACATCGTACGCGGGTCAGCAGCTGAGCTTTCCCCAGTGACTGAAGAGTTCAATGCTTCTCACTACAGTTGCTATAGTTAGAAAATCCCAGCATGGAGACAATATCAGCGAGAAAAATTGCATCTATGTTCTATGATAACGTCAAGAAAACCTCGGAGAAATTTACAGAGCTTTAAAAAGGAAGAATCCTGGGATTTAAAATCATAAGGAATTTATGTTAAAATTTCTTTCCGATTTTTTTCAAAATCATAATGATCAATTTTTTCAAGAGATACCGAAATTTTTAAAAATGAAATGTTTCCATTTGACTATATAAATGTTGATAAATTGTCCGCATTTAGATCGAGACATTTCCTGGATGTTGGAGCAGATTTTTTGAAATATCGTTTCTCTGAGTGGAATCGTCCGTATGTCGGGGCGTCCGCACGTAGGAGCACCATCGTATCATCATTACTGCATATGCTTTTATAACAATGTTTTTTTTTTCGTTGCAGGCAATCGGCTGCGTGGTGAATGCAACAGCTTACAAAATCCGCTTTGTCGACGGCATCGAAGCTTGCCGGATTTCCTGGAACGATATCCTCAGTTCCCTGCTGCTCTACTCAAGCTATTTGTACCTATTCGCCCTTTTCTTCCGGAATTCCTACTTCAAGAAGTCAAATCGCGGCAAGAAGGTCGAGTGATACCCTATAATAAGCTCACACAAAAAAACACAAACAGACGAGGGGAGAGAAGTCGAACGCTGAAAAACGTTATTTGTACACACGCCCGAATTCGCTACAAAAATTTTCGGTTTTCGTGTCTCTCAAAAATTTTTTTTTTCGGATTTATTTTATTTTTTGCGGTGTGCGTAATCGCGGGGCAACACATTTTTTTCGCTGCATTTTTTTGTGCGGAACTGTTGGTTTTCAAGCTCGTGGCGACGAAGAAAAATGACTCGATTTGTATGCTTGGTTGGTTTGCGGTTTTCTTCCTTTTATAGGGTCAAAAACGGAGTGTATAACCTTCGATTCACTACCCAAAGAATAGTCGCAGGCTTAATTGGTTTTTTTTAAGTTGTCCGTCTGTCCCAGTTCACAACTATTTTTTGGAAAGTTGTCTTTTGAAATTCGAAAGCAGATGACACACCATATTTACTCAAGTACAGTATCCCAAAATCTTTTCCCCAAAAATTTTGGAAAAAAGTGGGGTGCGCACCATACTTAATCTAACTTTACACGCAAATTTCCCAAAATTCTTGAGAGCATCCTCCTCTTGGAGCACATCGCAGATAGATTGTAAAGAGAAGCGTGATAAATTACCCTTTTATTCGAGTATCAATAGGTAAATATAGCTGCCGTACTTCTAAAATGAAAAAAAAACTTTCCACTGAATTTGTAACGTGCGCACCTTATTCAGGCATATATTTCTAACTAATTTTGTAAATCATAAATGAAGGTGCGCAAAAATAAACTACGCAATAGCGCATTAACTCAAGTAAAAATAGTACACATTATGGTACACGGTCTGGTTTGTCCACGACTCAAAAATACTAAAAAAGTGACTTCTTTTGCATTTTTTTTTTTTGGAAATCCTTCAGGTCACCATAACGTCAATTTTTTTGGGGGGGAACATTTCGTATTATTTTCTATTTCGAGGTTCGAAATTCGAATCCTCAACTCTGAAAAAAGTCTGACCCATACAGCGACTCTTTTTTACTCTTAAATTCTATGAAATAATGTGTAAGCTTTGATCACCTTTCAAGCAGATGAAGGATCCAACTTCTTTTCTTATATTTCAAACAAAGGTTTCACGCGCAATTCGTTGTGATTCAACTAAAATTGTGACGCATTCAAAGAACAATCCTTTTTTCCCCGCAACCTTTGCACCCAAAAATATTACAAAAATTTGTATCATTCGGAATCCTGTTGTGCTGTACGAAACGAAGTCTTTCAACGCATCTGAAGATCTTCGCAACATTTGTGGCCCACGAATGGCATCATTTCGGGACGACAGGTCTCAATCCACCTTTTGCTCCCAACTCATCGGCAAGGAAAAGTAAACTTTGTTCTGCAAGGTGCAATTCTATGTGTGTATCCACTTCCAGGCTCAAAGATTCTGGTACTTCAATGAAAGTGACTCTGGAAAGCAGTCGGAGGAATACAAAGATAAATTTCCGTTGAATTGAAAGTTATAGAATTTTTAGTTTCTGTATACTGTACAAGGTCTTGATTGTTTTAGTGTCAGATGCATTTCGTCCGACGAGCATAAAATACCTGACCTGCCAAACGTAACCCGAAGGCAGCTTTTACGCGTATTAAAAATGAAAACTTACAGAACAATATACCTTCGAAAATTTTCTCAGAGGGCGACACAGCCGAAGATTTGAAGGAAAATTTCGTAACTGCTTCTGATCAGCGAACTTTTCAGAATAATAATTGCTTTAAATCCTTTCAAACAAGGCTTTTCGTGCATCATCATTCTCAGTTTATGAGTTAAAATAAATTACTGAGTTAGTTCGCAACTGATAGAGGAGAACAATAATTTAGTAATCACGCATGCGTGGAATCAATCGAATCCTCTTGATTTAAAATTTTTTCAATCAATGAAAGTTCAGCCCACATTTACAGGCGAAATGTTTTCCTTTTTTTTTTAGAAAAAATCAGAAGTTATTTTTATATTTCAATCAACAACCGTAACCTCTTCAACTTCGGTCTCATGCAACTCAACGTTACGTTCAGGCGACATCTATGAAACCACGAAGACAATCACAGAGTTCAAATGACGTCATGCTCCGAAGTAAAGAGAAGTGCAAGTAATTTACGTAAAAGAATACAATTTGAACAGAATTCTACCTTTCTCCGTCTTGGTAGAACGTTTCCTTCGCTATGGAAGCCTTGCAGAAGTAGAACATGCCGTTTTCCACCATCATACCAGACCATTCTTGACGACGCGGTCGTTTGCTTGGGGTGAAGTTGAGCGGCACAGTGGATTCATCTGTTAAAAAAAACACAACCCATGAAGAATTTTTGTCAATATGATATCTCATCATCAGGAAACGTTACTTGTCCCAGTTACGTCTTTCCAGGTAAATTTGTGTATGCGTGTGACGGAAAACACGCTGTCCCAGTTTTCGTCCAACATTTTTCTGGCCGCTTCCTTCAGGTACTGCGGTATGATGAGCGGAGACGTCGCTTGAACCATCACTACGATGTCCACCTCTGAAAATATTATGATCAAACCGTTCAGAAGATAAATTCACCATTCAAAGACTTCGTTGTTTTAAGAAAATCTCGTAAAAATCATTATACTGAGACAATCTTCTCACGCGTACTTTCATTTTTCTCTTACTTCTGGAAAAGCAAAATTCACACTTCACAAATACAGTATAACTTAACATTGATTTATTAAATAACTGTATCTCTCGAAAAAGGTCCGTTGCCTCGATTCTCGTCGACGTTCGAAATTGATCTGCACAATCTATTCAAGCGCAGTTTCATTTTTCTCCAACTTCTCGAGATGTGGAATTCACATTTCACAAATATAACTTGACATTGATTTTTTCAAATATTGTATCTGTTGAAAAATGACCGTTGTGTCAATTCTCGGCAACGTTCGAAATGTATATGGTATAAAAAGCATTATTTGAAAATAGTGGATACGGATCGTAGTGCTGTAATACTTCTGGTTTCAAAGCAATAAAAAACTTGTGATCAAAACATCTGTCATGTGTATGTGCACCAGATTTCATGTGCCGCATTTTTTTAATTAAAAAATTCGGCTTGAAAAAAATTAATGTTTAAATCCTGTCGGGTACAAGGAAAAGAAATTATCGATGGAAAAGTTTCAATTCTAAAATAATTTACCACTGAAAACCCGAGTTCTTTTCCCTTTTCGCATGTCTCTCTCTGCTTTTTACGGAAAATTTTCAGTGCTGTCACATTTTTGTAACTTCTCAAAATCCCGCATCTCGCTCATAAAAGGCGTGTTCAAATCGCCCAATTCATCAGGCTCTCAACGGATTTTCGTTCCGTAATTACTGTACCATCTTCCCTGACTTCCATATCATGAATTAAGAATTAATGAGGAAGTTGATTTTTTTCAATCAGGTAACCGTACATAAAAATTACATAAAAACGGTAAACTAGCCATAATTTGCAGCTTCCTTTTTGAATCAGCATTTTATGCGATGACATTTGCTTTGACTGCAGGACAGGAAACCCACGATTTCTTTCCTATGGATTCTAGCAGAAAACTATACTTCATCTTGAATCGATGAGTTCTTTCGCTAAATTTTCGGCAGCATTATATTAGAATTGTATCATGGCCACGCGTAAAAAAAAAGAAACAGAGATGAAATTTCTCTCGATCATTTTATCGCTGTTAACTTTTCCTCATGTATATCCGACAATAATAAGGAGATTGAGCTAGAAACTCTCAAAACGTTCGAGCAGAGTAAATTCTAATTCGATTATACATTCGCCTCTTGCACCGTCAACCATTGATTTAGAGCTATTCTACCATAATGCCATACATTTTCCTGAAAGAGATTTTCTTTCATGGTGTTTTCAAGGGAAACCACGATTTAGTGCAAACTCATTCAAGTGCCACAAGCATTTGTTGTCCTGAATGAAAAAATATACCCAAATGAAGAAAACAATAAAGCCTTTTTCTAGGGATATCATTAGATTATTACTGAGAAGCACATGCCTACGCTCAGGATAATTGAAAAAATTTTTTCTTCTGAATTTACGCGTAATCGGGTGCTATTCGTTGGGATAGTCTATAAAAAAAATTTAAAAATAACTTCACCTGATCTTGGAATTGTGTGATTTCAATGGAAGGTATTGATGCAAAACTTCGAGAAACAGCTCTGCTCTTTTACTCGACGCAGTAAAAGCAAAAATCTGATATTTTCTGCATGATTAAATTAACTGAAATACTGTGCAACATAAAATCAATTCATGTGAGCCTCACTTTATTTCTTGTGGCTTTCTCTCTTGTAAAACAGACTCACTGACCTGACAAGTCCGCAAACAAGCTTATTTTACATATACAGTACAGGTACAGTAGTAGAAGCCCTAACACTAAACCATACTCTGAAACAATACCCCCGATTTAGTCTCACCCCCCCTTAACGCCACAAAATGTTCCAGTACAAATGTTGGCATTAAATCGGAGGTTAGACCCGTAGCTATGAATGGGTAATTCCTTTTTTCGATTTTTACATTTAAAATGCTGTTCAGGATGCACTGCCTGAAGTCGTAATAAGGAAAAATAACAAAATAAAAACGTTTTTGGATGGAAACATTTTTGGGTTGTATCATTGAGTTACCAGGATGGTGTTCGAGAAATTCCTTGACTCCAGTCACGGAAGACGCGGTGTCAGTGGCTGTGTAAGCTGCTCTTCGGTGAACTTTCGCCCCGTACTTTTCGGCGGCTTCTGCAATAGCATCTGAGTCTGTCGAAATCCACGTGGACGTGATTTCTGCACAGGAAAAATAAGCAACTATATTTCCCGCCTATACGTTTTTCAAGTACTGTACTGTACAAGTATAATCGCAAAAGAAAACACACAAAAATGTAAATACCCTCCGTGTTGCAACAGGCGTGAATTGCGTAAGCAATCAGGGGATGACCTCCGATAACTTTCAAGTTCTTCGAAGGGATTCCCTTACTTCCACCGCGAGCCAAAATCACAGCAGCAACGTGAGGTGATCTGTTGTGTTCCATGGCAGTGTCCGACATTTTCTCAAGTTCGTCAGCAAGTTTCTCTGCGTTATCACCAGAAATATATTTCAGAATCGCTTTGAGAAAAAAAAAAGCAGTAGATAAATTACTCCGAAATTAAAAGCGCGCGAAATATGCCAAAAAAATTCTCATATGGCCGCTGCACTTTTTAGGAGAACAAAAGAAACCTTTATACAGTATTGTTCAAGTTTTTCTTCATGTAGACCATGAAACGCTACTATACTAACACCACATTAAGAATTGGGACTATGCCGCGATCGTAAGCTCGTGCCCGTATTTGCTTTGTTTTGTCGATTTTACGAGGGTTGTCGGATTTCTTCGCGCAGCTCACTTCTTTTTGCCAACAGTTCTTGTTCTTTTCGCAGTACACGACTGAATTTAATTAGAATTAAAACAGTTCAGATGATCAGATCGTCGAAAAGCATATCCTGAATTTTTTCTTTTTGGTGTTTCAAACTTTTTTACAGTTTCCCTCACCGGATTGATGGGGATGAAATTTAGTCACTATTACATCAATCAGGTGTTCAATGAACTTGGAGAAATAACCTGAACCTTCGCAGTTATCGGACAGTAACACAGTATACAGTTCGTCGGGTTGAATTTATGAGGCAATTTTTTGCACTGAGACGACGCAGAAAATCGTCATTACATCCATTACACTGAATTTAGGGTAGGATGATACACGAAATAGGCGACACAATGGTGGTCGATTTTGTTCTCCTTCCATCATCCGTGGACGGAAATTTTGGTGATTTTTCAATATGCGTACAGTACAGTATTTAGAAACGTTCTAAATATTTAGAACCCATAAAATAGGGTGAAGTTTCGAAAATTAAAACTGCGCGCGGAATCCTATAACCCATTCAACGCATTAATCATATCGTAATTTTAATTGATTTTTTTCTCATAAAATGCCTGTCAATAGAAGGGTAAAGGCGTTCAATATACTGTAATTTTAATTTTCTATATTCCCGAGAAAAAAGTAACTGATCATTAGATAGCAGCAGAACTTTCTTCGTAAATCACATACAGTAATCTAATGAAAAGAATGGTGACATAAATTCAACATTTTTTTTCGGTAAAAACGCTAGTTCCGCACAGGAGGTTTTTTTCTGCACAATTGTATATCCGACCAAGTTGCTTTTTTGTAGATGAAATCTAATGAAAAGCCTCAACATAAATTCAACTTTTTTTAACGCAAGTTTCGCACACGTGGATTTGTTTCGGCAGAATGTTTTGTTTGACTACGTTGCTTTTTGTAGACGTAATCTAATGAAAAGTTTCGTCACCATAAATTCAACTTTTTTTCTGTAAACCGTAAGCTTCGCACAGGTGGATCTTTTCTGCATAATGTTTTCTTCGAATAACAGTACGTCGCTTTTTGTAGGCGAAATTTCATGAAAAACCTCGTCAACATATATTTAACTTTTTTTTTTACCGTAAGTTTCGCACACGTGGATTTTTTCTGCGGAGTGTTTTATTCGACTACGTTGCTTTTTGTAGACGAAAAGAGTACTTTTCTCACAGACACCGTTGAGACACGTCTCCCTGTCGCGCAAGTCAAGCATGAACTGATCACCTTGTGCCACAAACACGAAAGAGAAACATCGAAGTGGGTTGACGTAGCACAAAAACGAAAAAAAATGTGTCACGCACTCTATTGATTCCGTGTGAACGTCGCATGAAGTGTTCCCACCGAGCAAATTTACATTAGAGCGTGCACATATACACTCACCTGGCGTTTCCTATGGCCTACTGCTTATCGCAATAGCGATACAGGAAGTGATTGACGCCGACGAAGATGATGTCCTCTTCACGAAAGTTACGCATGAGAGTTTTTATGGTTGATTCACGTCGACTCTTTCATCAGTTGACGTGATCGACTCGATCCCACGGCCGTAAACCTTTCCTTCTTCCCATTGTTTTATGGCCCGACGAAGATAATTTCGAAGTCTTTCCGACGAACTGAAGTTTTTTACGCATTTCTTGATGAACGTTTGTGTGTTCTGCCTCTTGCAACAGATTCACGACGACGATGATCTTGAATTCCCTGTTCATCAAGGACGTTTCTTCGAGTCAAGTCATTTTTGTTTATGATGCTCGTTTCCAGGAGAAATGACTCGTCAGTTCCGAGTTGGAATTTTATATCCTCACTTCCTGGAATGACTGATTAATGCGCTAGTTGTATTCTCACATGTTGCGGAATTTTTGAATTCCAGAAGATACGGCTGAAAGCTGTTGGTTTCATGACTGTACAGTACAGTAGTACTTTGGCTTCATCAGTTAGAAACTCTCCAAAAACTTCAATTTTTTTATTTAATTTTTATTTTTTCATCTCAATACTCGAAGTTATTCTTTTTCATCAAGGTGGCTTTCGAATTTGTTACTCAAGGATGAATTCGAAAATTTAGGCGAAAAGGGCTTATAGGGAATATAGCCATTGACAATTTTCCAAAAAAAAGCTCGATGAACAAAGTTCGTTGGGTTTTTGAACGTCATAATTTAATTTGCATCGACACCTACATTTATACAGTACATAGGATTTTAAAAAAGCTCTTCGATTTGTTTTTGAAGAGCGAATTTCGCCCAACACGACATCACTCAGAATCTAAATGTTTTATACAAAGTCATGATTGAAAATGTTGCTCCAGACCACAAATCAGCGTTTCTGTTCATATTTTCAAATCATTGTTTTTTCAACGCCATTTTACTACAGTTGAATCACGAGATGAAAACTGCTTGAACAGAAATCTCGCCCCTTTACTTCTTGTATGTTCCAGAAGTGGAACAAATAGAACAAGAAAATGAAGAAAATCTGACAGGTTTCTTTTGAAGAATGTAGCGCAGATTGAGCGATGTTTGGCCCGAGCTAAAGCTCGGGCAAATATTTTCATTTATTAGCAACCTAGAAAAATTTTAAATAAAAATAAGTTTATAAGAAAAATGAAAGCGTGGTAAGCATAGCATTAAACGCAGCCGGTAGCTGCTGATTTTTAATGTTGCACATCAACGATTACAAAATTAATCAATACGGAACTCCACCAACTTTCCGGATTCAATTCATAGCGGATTGCAAAAAAAATGTTTAAACCTGACCTGAGCAAAATTCTTCACCGCTCACGGAAAATCGCTCGGAAGAAATAAATAAATAAAAGTTGGAACCACGTTGGGATAACTATTTCGAACTGCTTTCCAGCATGTCCTCCATCCCATTTTCTTCATCCAGCGAATCTTCGTCTTCCAAACCCTGGTATCGTGAAGAGCATCGTGATTTCCCGGAGCGATTTTCACCTTTTGTCAGCATCTTGTACTCCGCGATTTCCTGCGGTCACACGAGCAAAAATCCGTTCATCATGAATATGAAAGGCGAAAACGTTTACTGCTGAAAATAAATAAAGCCTGCTCGGAGATTTGATTTCCGTGGTACTGTAACATTATTTTGATGCAGCAAAAATCCTTGACTGATCAATTATCAGCGAAAGACATACACTCTCACATTGATTAAGTATTGGAAAAATACGCTCGCAAAAATTTTCAGAAAAGATCAAAATTTTCCACGCCAACTCATCCTCACCTAAAACGCTCAAAATCTTCATCCTTTACAAATGAGCCTGTCTAGTTTATCTCACACGATTCATGTTCAAGATTCTTCGAAAGAAATGATACCATATATTTTGCTGATTCTTTAATTTGGTACGATTTATTTATTTGCCGATTCTATTCTTTAATCGTGGTAAATATACGTATAGTCGCGATTTATAGAAAAATTCGTTTCAAGCTGTAAATGCGATCGTTAAAACGAAATTTCAATTTCATCAGTAATCTACATTTTGAGAAAACCCAAGAAACTCACACCAGCAGCTAAATCAATGATAACTTGATGTCACATATCAATAACCAGAACGCTTCGATAGGAAATCCAATGATGAGAGAAAAATCTGATACAGTACTCATATTTTCCAAATGAAGCACTTACTTTTCGATATCGGTCTTTGTCAATCTCTGACAGTTTCTCGAATTTCTTCTTCACATCCGGGGGAGTGAGAGCCCAGGCTTTGCCCAACTCACGGGAAATGTCTCGCATCGCCTTGTCTTCGTACTCTTGGCGCAATTTTCCGCGTTCTTGCTCGCAAAAATACAGATACGCTGACCTGGAATGATGTATCGAAATGTTTGAAGTTCCTTTGGAAACGCTTAGTGATGCGGCGTCAAAACTAACATGGCTCGCTTCGGTCTCCGGGGATCCTTCTCCCAACGCCGGATGGGTCTTGATTTCCCTTCCTGATAAATCATCATCTCGAGAGAGAAACGTGTTGAATCACGCTTGGCCAAGTGAATGTAACGCGCCTTCTGATCCCCCGTCATTGTCTGGAAGCGTAAACAGAACTTTAGATATGGTTGATCACTAGACGAATGTATTCGCGGTTTACGGATCGAATTTTGTTAGCCACAACATTTAATTTAATTTGAACATCGTCAAGTCTCAACCTACTGTCAACTGTATCCCAACGGGATCACAATTACAAGACACCAATATTTCTCTGGGAATACACTGAAGTTGAATGAATTTTCAATTCTTCACAATTCAACGTAAAATGCACCATTAACGAACTAAATTACAGTATTAGACGAAGCAGGTTATCAACGCCGTACATTTTTCCATTATAAAAAGAATCCTCTCAATTTTAAGTTCCGGCAGAAACTTTCTGTTTTCAATGCTTTCAATACAGACTCTGTTATAATCAAGCAGTAATGGCAGAAAATATGAACAAAATAAATTTTCCAGTAATTTCTTGATTATCCAAATGCTTTCCTGCTGCAGTACCAAGTGTAAAAATTTTACCAGTGCATTAAATTAAGATTCCATTCTATCGAATAAACATTATCAACAAATGGACTAATCGGGGATAAATTGTGTCCAGAAAAAAATATTACCGAACAGTTCACATGAATTCGATCTCTTGTCATATCCCGGTTCTTTCCATCACAAATTCTGCATTTCAAAATTTTGAACAGCTCGGAGACAAGGCTGCATATTTTATAGGTCTACCTAAATGGCTTCAAACATTATTGTTGAAAAAACTTAATTTTCCGGTTATTTTACAGGTATACATACTAAGATATTAATCAAAACAAATGAAACAATTTTGGCTCTTGAATCAGCACATCCAAGAATTCACCTTGGTAAAAATTTCATGTACAGAGTATGACACTGAGTTTGCCGGAAAAATTTTGACTAAAAATTTAACTTGGGTTTAACTATACAGGGCTCTGATCAGAAGACAAATTATTAAACTTTTCCTTAGATGATTTCGGAGTAAACAAATTTACCTTCTCAAATTTGATTTCAAGTTTCCAAATTTTTGTTCTTGCAAAATCCTACATATGAACACAAATTTGATAAGATGAAGAGACATTTAAATACAGTATCCATTTTACAGATCATCTTTTCTTTACAAAATCCTCAGTACATCGAATTTTTTGAAGTTCCTTGAAGTTCTCACAACTGATACTCGACCTGTACTACATGAAGCTTCGGCTTCTCACTTTCATTCTCACGTTGGATAACGACTTCACTTATCCTGAGCACAATATTGCTTTACGCGCACCTTCCATCGGTCGTTGCACATCCTCGTGAATTGAGAAAAATCCAGTTTATCGTTCGGAAAACGATCTCTCAACTCCTCTCGACACGTTTGTAAATAATAAGCGTACGCTGACATCCTTCCAGCAGGTTTTTTCTTCTCTTCGTCTTCCAAGTCCTCAGTTTTTGAACTTCGAGATGCATTGGTCTTCATTTCTTCCCGGTTCACTGGGAGTAAAATTTCACTCTCCCATCTACAGAGCAGGTACCTATTGCAAGCCGGAAATGTACCAAACAGAAAAATAGCTTGATTCAAGCACATTAAACTAGGAAAGAACGAAGCAGTAATGAGCAATACGAAACGAAGTTTCTTTTCATGTTGTATAAATTCATTCCACTCACATCCGAATACCGAGAGCAAAGGAAAATCGTCATTGTAGAGGCGAAACGTAAATCCAAGACAAAGGGTCGGTCACATTTTCGTGTGAATCCAAACGGAACGTCAGCAGGAGAATCAAAATAACATCTTTCAAAAGAAGCTGGGTCAAGGAATAAGAATTCCACAAATATACAAAA